ACACCTATCAAGCAGGATCCCAGGAGGAACAGTGTTGGTACACTATAGTAAAAATTCTAGATTTTAGCAATAAAGAAACAATCTTGCACGCAGCAAAAGCAAAGAAGAAGCTATACTAAAATGGGAAAGAATATGAAGAAGGGGACTACAATCTGAAGAAATCAATCAAAAAAAAAGGAAAAAAAAAGAAATCAATCAAGATCAATCCATACCAGATAGATATCCTTACCAGATAGATAAACACAGGAGGAAAAAAGAAAAACTTAGGAAAGTAGAAAAATGACAGGAAGTGCAATACAGCTCTCTATAATAACAATAAACATTAATGACTCAATTAATGAATCAAAAGAAAAAGAACTGATGATTGGATCAGAAAACAAGGTCCATCCCTTTGCTGTCTTGATTCAAGAGACCCACCTCACACCCAAAGAAAAAGGCAAACTCCAAGTGAAAAGATGAAGGAATATCTACCATGCAAATGCTCTCAGCACGAACACAGGAGTTACCATCCTGATATCTGATAAAATAAACTTTACATTAAAATCATTACAAAAAGACAAAGAAGGTTACTACATATTAATGCAGGGAACAATCCAAGAAGAGAATATCACCATTGTCAATTTATACTCTCCAAACATCAGTGCACCCAAATATGTTAAGCAAATGCTGTCAGACTTACAGGAAATGATAGATCCAAATACAATAATATTAGGAGACTTTAATACTCCATGCTTACCAAAGAACAGGTCTAACAACCAAAGAACTGGCAAAGACATTTCCAAATTAAGTGATGCCATATCTCAAGTGGACTTAATTGACATATACTGAGTTTTCCACCCAACAACAACCCAATACACACTCTTCTAGTAGCCCATGGAACTTTTTTCCAAAATAGATCATATCTTAGTTCATACAAGGAATTTAAGCAAATACAAGAGGATCAACATAATCCCCTGTATTCTATCTGACTATAGGAGAATCAAGCTATTTCTCAATAATAAAGCATACAGTAGAAAATACACAAATACATTGAAATTAAACAGCACACTTCTTAGCAACACCTGAGTCACAGAAGTTATCAAAGAAGAAATTAAAAAGTTCCTACAGTTCAATGAAAATGAATATACATCACAAAGCAACCTATGGGATACAGCAAAAGCAGTCCTATGGGACAAATTTATTGCTCTCAGTGCACACATCAAGAAAACAGAGACAGACCAAGTAAACAATCTCATGATGCAACTAAAACTAGTAGAGAAACAATAAAAAGTTGAACTAAAGTTGCTAGATGGAGCGAGATAACCAAAATAAGAGCTGAAATTAATGAAATGGAAACTAAGACTACTATAAATAAAATTAGTAAAACAAAAAGCTGGTCTTTTTTTTAAAATATCAACAAAATTGACGGACCTCTGGCAGATTAACTAAAAAAAGGAGAGAGGAGACCCAAATCAATAAGATCAGGGATGCCACAGGAAAAATTACAACAAACATCCAAGACTTCCAAGATCCAGGGATGCCACAGGAAAAATTACAACAAACATCCAAGACATCCAAACAATTATAAAGAATTATTTCCAGACTCTATACTCACTAAGGAAGGAAAACCTAGGAGAAATGGATAAATTTCTAGAGAAATACAAATTGTCCACACTGAACCAAGAAGTAAATCAATTAAATAAGCCAATAACCTACAATGAGATAGAGGAAGCAATCAGAAGTCTTCCAACAAGGAAATAGAAATAGAAAGAGCAATCCCAAACTCATTCTATGAAGCGAATATCACACTCATCCCCAAACCAGGCAAAGACCCAACAAAGAAAGACAACTACAAATCAGTCTCTTTGATGAACACAGATGTAGAGCCGTCGCCTTTCTGTACACCAACAATGTACAAGCAGAAAAGGAAATCAAGGAAACAACC